ATGTGCAAACAAATATGCCTGCAGTACTCCAATACTATTCTTATTAATTTTAGTCCTGGCCCGGAGCAATAGTGATTAATACACCGGTTCCTTATTACTAAAATTATTGAAAGCTACTACGATATCTTTTCCTTAGGTAATGTGTCGCTTCGCAACAAACATGGTCTATAGTTGATATTTTTAACAGGCTTGAAAAGGTCCAACAATCCAAAATGTAGAATCCAACAGCCTGCCAAAGCCTATCCAAAGGCAATGGATTTAGACCAACCTTTTATCAAAGAGTCTAAGCTTCTCAGCTTTTAAAATCTGAAAGAAATTTTGCCTGGAGGGGTTTTTAGGGACTTTTCATCATTACATGACATTAGATGTCGCACCGACAGTCAACAAAATCACAGCTAGACCTTTTGGGGCTCAATTTATTCATCACACGATTGAAAAATCATTCTACTTTAGCCCGAAGATAAAACAGCATTTAGCCAGAAGATATGAGTTTGCCTGGCTTCGCCCCAGTCTTGGTTTCCTCCCAAATCAAGTTGCCATGATCATTCTTTGAACCGTCAACTTGAGTCCCACGATGTTTTCAGCCCTATTTCGTCTCTGAAAGCCGATTGGCGCATGTAATGATAGCCCATTGTATAAACCAACCAATGGGAATTCATCCGGACACTGTGCCTTTAAGTCGCCAAATTACCAAAGTACAATGCCTGCCAAAGTACTTGGAACACCCAGCAATCTACGCTGCATTTGATATCTTTCATTCCTTTCATGAAAAAAAATGCTCCTTCCGCCCCCTTCCCCCTGAAACAATGTTGATGATTTAGAGAAGTATCTTAAAAGAAGCGCAAAAGAAAGTGCTTCCTAAAATCCTAACCCATTTGATAGTAAACCAACATCGTTCTGTATTGGAGAGGGGGATGATTGATTTTGATCATCATCATCATCATCACCACATGTCTAAGCTTTTCTAAGATGACCTAGACATTTATCATTCCTGGTAAAACCACACAGGCAGCCATTGAGCTTCAAATGTTTGTCTGAGTTCTTTGAATTTTCCAAATAAAAACTGTTGACAATTGACACTGAAAAGCTTCCACGTGCGTGCACGTTTACGAACAACCTAGCCGCTCTTTCGTGTCATCAACGTGTCGTTACAATGTGAAAAAGACTTGTGAATACCCTGATATGTCTAGGTGTGGTTAAAACCTGAAACGGCCCCTTCCAGACTTGCCAGTAAAAGGCGTTTCTGGTGACTTCAACCGACCTGCCGCAGCTTCTTTCTGTATTTTAATTATGACGGCCGGATCTAGGGACTGTGTTAAACCATTTTTGCAAATCAAACACGCTACAATCAACCTTTAAAATATTCTTAGGCAGAAACAAACAGAGGCAAGTTTATCTTTAAAGCTAGGGCGATATCTGTGAGGTGTATAAATATCTGTGGACGAAACTGAAGAATCCGGGCAGGGTAATACGAGAAATCTGATGTCATACACGTCGAAGAGTTTTTTGACGCTATCAACGAATCACAGGTCGCCGAGGGGCAGGCAACGCTTTCCTAAGAATATGACATCCAGCAAAACATGATGCCTATCCTGATGCTTTGTGTTCGCCATATCTGTGATTGTTTTAAGATAGTGTGCGTGTTTTATGGAAGAATCGATCAAAAATCTGCATGTGTCAGTGTAAGCCCCTTTCCAAGTTGCTGCCTGAAGGTGGCCAGGAAGTTCTGTCTTAAGCCATTCTATTGAAAGAATTGTTGACAGGCCTTTGAAAAACATGATCTATTAACAACTGTAGCTTCAGGGCGTTTCGAGATGAATACGGCTCGAAATATCACCCATAGCGATTCCTGTGCAGCCAAGGGCGTATTTTATCATTGCCTGAAGAGGTGTCGACAAATTTCCTTGCGTATAAAGGCGGTGGACTGCGGGTACCTATTCCTTATGCAAACTTGCTGCAAAAAGATGAGCTTCGCATTGGTGCCCAATGTGAGTTGCAACCCGAAGCGCAACGGTAGTATCGACGAAATGCGTTGGTAGCCAGTAAATTAAAAGTCAGAAAAGGCCAGTAATTGAGGTTTTTCAATGTCTGCAAGCTTTCTTTCAAAATCAACACATTCCTGCTCATTAAGAAATTTCCAATTTATAACAAGTAATTCAAACTTCACGTTAGCCCTCTAATCAGACAACAGTGGCTATTTAACTATAAGCCACGCTGCGATCGAACTAAATTGACAATTTTTTAAGTAGAGAAATATTTCAAACTTCTTTCTGATTGTATGCAACAATTAATTTTGGTACATCTAAACTAGAAGTGAAGTTATGTGGTTTTTCTTAAGGTGATCTTTAAGTAAACCTCAATTGACAGAGCTACCTCAGAAAGGAACGATCGAGTTAACAGAGGGCTTAGAGTCATCTGATTTTGCACTATGTCTCCCATTTGGCTCCAGAAAATTTATTTCATTAAAATAGATGCAATATTTGTTAACTAGTTCTATTCACAAAGGTTTCTGCTATTTCATAACTTTTATGAATCTTACAAGAAATTTCTAAACTTGGCCTAATTGCCTCAAAATTCAACTATGAATGACATCAAATTTTGTTTGATTCACGAAATGCAATATTATTGAAATAACAGAGTATGAACAATGTAAATTGCCTATGAAATTAAAACAGTCCATGGTTCTTCTTGATCCGGGTCCATTTTGATCAGGGCCGTTGGTGGTTCTTCTTGATCCGGTCCAAGGTTCTTCTTGATCCGGGTCCATTTCGATCAGGGCCGTTAGTGGTTCTTCTTGATCCGGTTCATGGTTCTTCTCGATCCGGGTCCATTTTGATCAGGGCCGTTGGTGGTTCTTCTTGATCCGGTCCATGGTTCTTCTTGATCCTGTTCATTTTGATCAGGGCCTTCATGTCTTGAATGGTTTACTCTCCGACACTTTATTCTCTTTCTAAATGTATGTTACTTGCTATTGGGATGGCGCCCCCACAAAACTCCATACGGAACCACCCTTTAAATCTGGTAATAATCTAATTGAAGTTGTTGCCCTGAATGGCGTATTTATAAGCATTATCTCACTTACTTTTTATTTATTACAACCTATTTATATATCTATTTATGAGGCGTGTCACGAGATTCACCATCAAGACAAGAGGCTCGTAGACTGTAAATAACGAAAAAGGAATTTTAATACTTAATAAGTAGATGATTATATCGAATCAGTGCTGTGAAATATAGCTTTCACTACATATTAGCTAAGTTTACATTCAAGCTAAAGTGGCAAACAACGGATTACGCAATGAATGAATGCACTGGTAAAAGTCGCTTCATATAAATCATAATTAGACACAAAGAAAGGAATCCATTCTTAGGCTCTTTTTTCATCTGATTAGCGTTCGTCTGTGAATCAACGATAAGACGAAATGATGTAACCTTGAACTCACCATATCGTAGAAATGTTCGCTTTAAAAGTAACTCCGGCTGTATTATAAGCGGTTTAATGTTGCCAATTCTTTTGTTTTACGGCAATCTTGTTACAGCGGGTTTGAATGAATCCGTTTGAAAGGCAATGAAGTGCATAAAGATGTCTTAAGTATAGTGGCACACGCTTAGAAAATCCGCGGCACATGTTAAAATATTTTGTTATATAAACCAGTGTTACAGGACCTTTTTAATATAAATAAGGGTAATATGTTGGTATTTATCAAGAGAAATAGGACTTAGTTGAGCAAATTGTTCTTTTGGAATCCGTCGATGCGCCTAAGGCACAAGAGGGGCTCAAATAAATGTTTCCCTAAAACAGAAAGGAAACTGGTCATTTTATAGCATTACCAAAGTGGCTCAGCTCCATTGCAATACACCCCCTGGATACAACCTTGTAAGATGTAGAGAACGGCGCAGTACATTGGAAATATGACGAAACTGGTAACAAACCACGGGTCACTTAGCTTTTCATGTACAGAGGGACGAGCCCTGGCCTCTCTGTTGTATAAAAAAGGATGTTAGTTCCATCTTGTAAATGCAACTTTTTCACTGATCCCCTGCTGGCACCTTTTATTATAGAAATCTGTACTGGGACTATGTTAGTACATCTATTGTGCAAGTCAACGGAAATTGCTCCATTGAATTATCTTCGAAATGCAACTCGCGATGCAGAGTCTCCCGCAACCTTAGCTTTCCTTCCGTTTAGTCGTGTTGGTTGAATTCATGGGCGTGGCGATATGCTGAAAAGTGGATTAAGACGATATCTTTCGTTATCGTTTTGGATTTAAATATAATGTAATAGAAAAGATCTAAGATATCAATGAGGAGGGACTAGCTTGCAAGATGAAACCATTTATTTCCTGTTTTAATATAATTCTATAATTACAAGACTACCATGTCGTGTGGTACATTTGAAATTTGTTTCACATTAAAAGAATTAGTGTGTAACGGAGATGCGCTTATTTCAAATTTCGTCCCACAATGAATTTTTGAAAAACTGTATGCATTGAACGTCTAGACCTAATAGCCAATGGTCCAGTCACCTCGAGAGGAAGGACCAGGACAATGCTCGATAAGCGAAGCTTAGCAGTGTCCTTAAAGACTCATTGCTAACAATGAGCCATTGCGCTACGCAAGCATCCCATAAAGCATTTTTAGACAGTCTGAAATCAACTTTGGTTGATCCGTAAAAGTTTACTGCCATTGTTTGGATCGTTGCAACGCTCGCAAAGGCCTATTGTTAGCAATGAGTCTTTAAAACTAACTTCATAAGCTTTAGTAACAAATAAAAATTCAGATTGCTCTAGGAAGGTTATTTTTGAATCTGTTCAAAAGACAAATGTGCTGACGTAAAATTTGATGATATCAGTTCTGACAGCAGTGTGTTTAACTTTAGACTGGGAATTTAACAACTATAGATTTGCCTTGGTGATGTATCTGCATAGTTTACTGTTACACTTGATGTCGTGATTGCAATTTGAAAGAAGATTAATAACCCAGCGTTGTTTGTTTTTTAGACTTTATGGGAAGTCCTTACGTCATTGCCACTCCAAAAGTAAGAGGACGAAGGCGATTATCAAGAGGAACAGGTATTGTATTTTTGACCTTTTCATGACCTTTGTTGACTTTTTATGTGACCTTAAGACAGCCAATGACAACAACTCGCATTGTCACCATAACCTTAAGACAGCCAATGGCAACAACTCGCATTGTCACCATAACCAGAGATTGTGCTTCCTTGAAGTACATTGTGTGTCATACAAAAACGGGACCGTGTGATGCAAATCCTTTCGTGTGTTTCTTGTTTTACTTGTTGCTGTTTCACTTGTTAATGATGAATCAGAAATGACTTAAATAAATTGTATAGGATTCGGGTTTCTGAACTTTTGCTTAGTAATAAAAATTCTTTTTTTAAATAATTCTTTTTGCAGCAATATCACGAGGCGTTCGTTGTTATCTGCTGTTATTCCATGAGTTAGCAATGCAGCAATGCATTCAATAAATAAGGTGTTCCAGGTTTTACTCGCGTATGCCCACTCTGGTTTATGAAAGCTCTGTTGGTTATTTCATAGGTGGCCCAGTTTTACCAGCAATAAAAGTTGGAACAGGCAATCACTGGCAACCCAAGAAAGAAATAGAGGTACATGCTATGATTGGCGACAGAGTATCTGCAGCTGTGGGAACAAGGGTATTAATCAAATGCGTTTTTGCTGGTGTACCTGAGCCAAGGGCGACGTGGTTTTATGGCGAAAAGAGAATTGACAATGACAGATACCTGCCATACATTTACTCATACAAAGATTACGTCACAGTGCTTGAGATACCAAATTTGAAGAGATTTTATGCCGGGCAGTACTCATGTCGCATTGAAAACAGATTTGGCGTTATCAAGGCAACCACAGACGTTAGACTGATAAGTGAGTGTTGTTCTCCATGTTTTTTTTATTTATCTGTTATCATTATTTTTTTTAAACAAAGTTGATGTGAAGATGCTTTGCTGTTTTGCTTGGTTTGGTGAGCTCTATAGGTTCTTATCTACAATCGTGCTACAAGCCTTGAAATATGAACGTCAGTTTTCAAAGACAAATCCAGCCATCCCCCCCCCCTCCCCCATATTTGGTTTACTATAAAAGAAGGGAAGAGGTTATCGTGTTTTCGTGTTCTGGAGAGGGGGGGGGGGTGGAAGTAGAAGTATTCGGGAAAAAGAAATAAAGAATAGAATTACTTTTGGCAGGCATTGTAGAAAGCAAAATTGCTTGTAGTTTTGTATATACTTGGCTGGCTATGTTTAAGAACATTAAATGTTTCAGATTTCTTCACAAAACCAGTCATCATTGGGAGCTTCAAATATAAATATAGCGCTGCTGAAAACATCGGTATAAAAACAGTAATATAAAGACGGCCTACCTTTAATTGCCTAAATAAAACCTATCAAACATACCTGCAACTACAACGCAAAGCACACTTATTTATCCTTTTAAGTACCACCCCTTTATAGTGACCACCTTAAACTGTTCCCTGGTATAGTAATGAATATATTTTGCATATACAATACGACACAGATATAACTATACTAGTTAAACTAGTGTTTAACTCTGCTACTAGTATAACTCCACTGATGTTTTACACAATTTTGATAATAAAATGAGTAGTAACAAGATGGCCTATCTCTAGTTGCCTGCATACGATCGTCCGATTAACATGTTTACATGTCTGAATTGCCTGAAGCTAGCACTGAAGCGAATAATGACTCCATATGGAATCCACCTTTCATAACGACCTTCTGAAACTGTTCCCCGACGTAGATATGATCATATTTCACAAATACAGTACGATAAAAATGTAGCTATACTTTATGTAAGCTCAATCTTTCAGCATTTGTATTTCTGTATTTTGATAAAATATCGATTCAATACTCGACATAACAGAAACTTGTCTAGTCCTCTTGATTTTTATTTGTAATTACCACACCTACATTCATTTTTGTCTATCATATTCCAGAGGCTGGTGAACCAACCATTTTCAGCGAAAGGAAGGTAGTTGAGTTCGGTCCCAATGATAGAGTCGTCAACATAACAATCGGTACAAATGCTACATTGTTTGAATCAACGAAAGTAAACATCTTGTGTCCTGTACAAGCATATCCTTTCCGCCTTCGGGTGCGTTGGAGAGCTATGAATGTAGGAACCACTCGGGGAATTCGAAGATACGGTTATTATGGCTCGGATTTGCGAATTCAAAGTGCACAAACTGGGCACTCTGGAACCTATGTGTGCACTGGAGAGGCATACCTCGGCTCTGATTCGGAAAGCTCAACTATCAAAGTTATTGGTATGTAGGCATTGGTTGCTTGTTGTGTTGTGTTGTGTTGTGTTGTGTTGTGTTGTGTTGTGTTGTGTTGTGTTGTGTTGTGTTGTGTTGTGTTGTGTTGTGTTGTGTCTTGTTGTGTTGTGTTGTGTTGTGTTGTGTTGTTTTCTCTTTTGTTCTCTTTTGTTGTATTCCATTGTGTTTTCATATTTTCTCTTGTGCTGTTGTATTGTGTTTTGTTGTATTGTGTTGTGTTGCGTTGCATTGTGTTGTGTTGTATTGCGTTGTGTTGTGTTGTGTTGTGTTGTATTGTGTTGTCTTGTGCTGTGTTGTGTTGTGTTGTGTTGTTTTCTATTTTGTTCTCTTTTGTTGTATTCCATTGTGTTTTCATATTTTCTCTTGTGCTGTTGTATTGTGTTTTGTTGTATTGTGTTGTGTTGCGTTGCGTTGCATTGTGTTGTATTGCGTTGTGTTGTGTTGTGTTGTCTTGTGCTGTGTTGTGTTGTGTTGTGTTGTGTTGTGTTGTGTTGTTTTCTATTTTGTTCTCTTTTGTTGTATTCCATTGTGTTTTCATATTTTCTCTTGTGCTGTTGTATTGTGTTTTGTTGTATTGTGTTGTGTTGCGTTGCGTTGCGTTGTGTTGTATTGCGTTGTGTTGTGTTGTGTTGTCTTGTGCTGTGTTGTGTTGTGTTGTGTTGTGTTGTGTTGTGTTGTTTTCTCTTTTGTTCTCTTTTGTTGTATTCCATTGTGTTTTCATATTTTCTCTTGTGCTGTTGTATTGTGTTTTGTTGTATTGTGTTGTGTTTTGTTGTATTGTGTTGCGTTGCATTGTGTTGTATTGCGTTGTGTTGTGTTGTGTTGTGTTGTGTTGTCTTGTGCTGTGTTGTGTTGTGTTGTTTTCTATTTTGTTCTCTTTTGTTGTATTCCATTGTGTTTTCATATTTTCTCTTGTGCTGTTGTATTGTGTTTTGTTGTATTGTGTTGTGTTGCGTTGCATTGTGTTGTGTTGTATTGCGTTGTTTTGTACTATTGTGTTGTTTTGTGGTATTTTTCCGTTGTGTTGCACCCTATATAGTTTTGTGAAATACATCTGAAAAAGCCATTGGAACTGGACTTATACAGCATCCTATATTGCGCTTTAAATTACCTGAAAATTATCTCAAGTCTTAAGTTCAGTTAATGGTAGTTTTATTATGCAGTTTTATATGCATACTATTCTTTTAGTGTTAGTCATTATCAAAGATATCTCGTTTATTTTAAGTTTGATTTGACATTTCTTTAAGTGCGTTCTGCTTAAGACTTCTGATGTTCTAATGCAAAATTTACCCAATTCTTCCTCAGCTAAAGTCGCCCCGAAGATCCAGAAAAGTAGCAAGAAGGTGTATGGGCGAGCTGATGCATATCCGTTTGTGAATATCACAATTGGTGACACCTTGGTGGCAGAAAATGGAGCCCAAATCGAGGTGGTTTGTCCTGCCACAGGTTCACCACAGCCGAAGATAATATGGCATCGCAGAGGTATGGTGAATTTCCAGTTGGTTAATATGAATTGACTTTGCAGGGAAAATTTGGGAATATAGCGGCTTTTTTTTGTTTGCATGATCAAAGGTTAATGTGTGATTACATGAGATGTAAACGCAGGTTTCTTTGTGTGATAGGAATTCATTTAGCACAATATTGTTTTGCCTCGCACAGGAACGGATTTACCGGGGGTGTGGGGTGAGACAACCCCCCCCCCCCAATATTTTTTTGTCCTTTGGTAAATTCTGCTTTTATTCGGTAAAAAGTATTTTTTGTAGTCAGTAGTACCAAATTGATGCGGATAAGTTATCTATCTTCTTTATCTTAAAGTTAAAAACTGAATTTTATTATTTCCTGTCACCTAGAGGGCGTGGCACCCAATCCCAAAATTATCTAACACCCCCATCCCCAATATTTGCCGCTCAAATCCGTCCCTGATGACCAAACAGTATTTGAAGCGTTAAAGGTCATTTTGGAAGCCTGGCAGCTTTATTCCAAATCTTCAGCCTATCCAAATACTAACCAAATTGAATTTAGAAGGAGAGATAGCAGAACTCTATAATTTTTCTGAGGTTTTAGTTAGTGATGAATCATCAAGCAATGACAACTTGGTTCAGTGTTTTCATGATTCCTTTTCTATGGTGGTAAAGACACTCCTGAATTTCTGATAAGATTTTTGATAAGGTTTTTGATTAGGTTTTTTATAGATACTAAAAACATTATTAGAACTTATTGCGACTGCTCTAAAAATGTCTAACCTTTTGGAAAACGATGTTTTGTGAAAAGTAATTGTAAATTTGTAAGCTTGGAAATCTTTTATTTCACACTGCCACCAACCTTGATTCCGTTGTCAGGCATTTTCAGTTTGGTTTTCTTTGACTTTCGTAAGAGCATATTTGGCCTAACAAAGATAACACAGATAGCGTCTTTGTACCCATGGTAACTCAAAACCGTCCGACCTCAATGGAACCACGATTTTTATCCGTTATATTTCAAGCTTAAGAAGTTGTTTTTTCCCATTCTTCTACAAAGATATCAAATTCTGGTCAGTAATTGCTGTTATTCCAGTCAGTGAGATAGCATGAATCACATCATACAATGTTTAATAAATTACAAAGACCGCTTTATTTGAAATATTTGTCAGTAAAATACGATGACCTAAGCTGGAGGACTCTTTTCGAATTGATAAATAGTATCGATGCTTTTTAACAGACAATCACATCTTTTTAGTCTACTATTACTCGACAAATGATGCTTTTTACTTTTGGGGTGCATCTACTTAGACCCCCCTCCCTAGTACATCTACTCCAGACCCTCTGAACCTACCCTTACGTATGGCCTATTTTTTAACATTCCCCATTCCCACCTTATTTAGGCACGGCGGAGCAGGGGGGCTGGTGACTTTAACCGCCCACTTTTTGCCAAAACTGCAAAAAATGAACCAATGAATTACCAGAGAAGGCTTTTTTACCCCCCCCCCTTCAAACTTTTCTCAACGTTCTAGAGTGTCTTTTATTTTCGTCAGTGTCTATCTGACGCTTTATCAATCGCTTTTCAGGAGTGCCAATTATGTTTCCAAGTATTAATATGTTCACAAAGAAGGATGGTTCCATTCTTGTGATTCGAGAAATGAAGGCCGATGCATCAGACACCTATTCTTGTGTTGCAACCAACGTGGCCGGGCAAGAGTCGGTTGGCTCAAAAATCACTGTTCTTCCTGCAGGTAACTTACCTCGATAATTGTAAAGCCAAAATCTTACATAAGCAGGGCAACGTCAACTTTGTAAAGCCTTTGTGGTTAAGAAACGTTTTAGACTTACAGGATTTCTAAATGGTTGATAAACCGTTTAGAATATTGCTTCTTTATTGTTCAAGATTTCTTAAAACCTTCATTTTATATCGTCTTTTTCCTAAGGTATAGCCATTTCTACGTAATATAAAGGCAGTACACCAACTGCTTATAACCAGACTTAATCAGTTACATACTTAGATATATCAATTTAAAGTTTACAGAGGTCATTTATCACAAATCTTCAACATCGTTTGGATTTTTCGCTGAATCTTTTCGAGCAGGCTATCAGCCCAGAAGCCTCGAAACACTGTGCTAGTTATTGTGTAAACGAGATCCAGATTCTATTGGGTTCTATTGATTTCTTGCTTATGGACTTTCTTATACTTGCAAATGATAAAATTTGTTTCTTTTCGTTTTGAATTGACAATCGTTGACTATGATCAGCTGATAATGCAAGATACTTTATCATAATGCCAATTATCAACCCAGATGAAACGACACGACACGCATACAAGTAGTCAAGATTTTTACTCTGGATTGCATCAGACAAACTGATTTTCGTTATTTCATTATTGTAGGCGCTTTCCGTCCAAAAATAGAGGGCAGACGAGGAACTATCTTAGTGACTGGGGAAGAGGACAGCCAGTCAGTGACCATTGGACAAAAAGCTGAAGTATTCGAGGGAAAACCTTTAACAGTATACTGTCCTGCCAAAGGACTTCCTAAGCCAGACATTTCTTGGAAATTCGAGGGACTACCCATAGAAGAGCTTAAAGGGGTCAATATGATGGTCGACAAATCTGGTGGGGGGTTGATGATTGTTCGAGTTACTAGAAAAGTGGCTGGTAGCATCTCGTGTGTGGCTGAAAATGTTCTTGGTGCAGTGACTATGTCCTCTCGCATTGAACTACAAGGTAAAGTTTTTTATCGTGTGAATTTCATGGAAGTGTTACGTCATATGTTAAAACCTGCGACCTCTCTGTGATTGCCATACCCATCGATTTATGTCAGCATTCGGTTTCAGACAATGAGAATTTGCTGCAAGTTTCTATTATTTTAACTGATTTTAAAAACGAAACGGTGTACTTTATGACCATTCATTTCAATGGCCTGTGCTTATTTACTATTGGTTTGTTTAACAGGCTCTTCACAACCAAAAATAATCTCGACCGGAAATGATGTCAGAGTTGGAAAGAAGGCTGTGCCCGTTAGTGCTGTGATTGGCAATGACATCAAAACATCTGGGGATAGGAATATAAAACTGGTTTGTCCTGTATCAGGTTGGCCATCGCCTAAAGTCGTTTGGAACAAGAATGGCAAGTCGGTTGATCTGCCCACAAGTAAAATGATGGGTGGTGTCGCCAAAGGATCCGTACTTTCAATTGATAATGCTCAAGAATCAGACAGGGGCACATATACGTGCTATGCTATTAATCCAGCTGGAGTGGCTATGAGCTCGTCAGAAATAACCGTTCTTGGTATGTTTATAGATGGTTTAAGTACACGGTGTTACTTGCTATTTATTCAGGAAGTTCTCATCATCATTGAAGGGGATGAATATCAAATAGTCCAAGATTTATTCACATTAAAGCAATTGTAACGGATAGTTCAAATTAAATCTTGGCTTTGCTGAACCACTGTTTTTGCTAATTAGTCGCTAATTATAAAAATTGCTTTAATTGGAACTATCGCTAAAAATTTCAAAATGGCTCCTCCATTGTTCTTTAGAGATGAGAAGGCTTCAACTGCCATCTTGTAAAAGAATCTGATATTTTTCAGTGTTCTGAGCGCATTTGGTACCAGTTAGTGATGCAACTTTGGTTAAAACATTTTATTCAAAGAAATTGAAAGTTCTTTAGTTTAATCCTAAGCTCGTATAATGCTACATACCACATTCACATCTCATGGTATATTCACGAAATTTTGATGCTTGCTTAAAAATGTTCACACCCAGTCTAATCATTTCTAGAACCAAACTCACCTATCATAACATCTGTACCAACGACGAAAAAATTTTTGGAGAAGACAAACGTGCAAGTAGACATTGGCACAAATGTGACATCTCTACTTGGTAACACATTGACAATTCGTTGTCCATTCGATGGGACTGACGACACTGGTGTAATATGGAGTGTCGACTCGCAACAAGTCGTTTTTAGCAAAAGGGTGTATTTAGTTGAAGGCAATGCTTTGAGAATAGAAAACGTTGGTTTCTTCGACAATGGTGTGTATGAATGCAAAGTCTGGAATTCAGAGGGCCATGATTCAGAGAAGAGTTTGATAAGAATCGCAGGTGATTATTTAGTTGTTCGTTCAACCTTAGCTCCAATGTAAAGATTTATGTAGAAGTAAACTTTCAGTACAAAGAGAAAGTGTTACTGATTTGTATGTTCTCTAGAGAAGCTTCTTCATTTGTAAGTCCTTGAAGACGTTAACCCAGGATGCCTCAACTAACGTCATTCTTTTGTCCACATATGTATAAAGGATTTGATATGGCGCTCCACTAAAGTTGTACTAGTATTTTACTTGCCTGCAACTTTTATCAGATGGCTTCTAATAGACACAGATCTTTTTTTTCCTTCCATGTCTCTATAGCTTTTCATTGAAGCCAATGCTTTTATGTACACCCACAGCCTTGCAGCGAGCAACCTACTTGGCTAATACTCTTTTGATATAGATTTTTGGCAACTGGCTACATTGTAGCATCTCAGCAGTTTATCTCAATATGTTACTGTTATTCTTGTACTGTTTAAGCTTAGAATTCTTCTACATTTCTTCCTTTGTTAACCTTAGCTCCACATAACCAAATCGTGAAGGCTTCAAACAAGGTTAGTAAGCTTGTGTCATACACTGCCGAAGAAGATCTCCATGTCGTCATTGGTCACAATTTGACAGTCACAAGTGGACACAACATATTCATTACATGTCCAGTTCGTGGTGTCCTAAGACCGGTCATTACTTGGATGAAAGGAAACAATGTAATCAAATCTGGTGAAAATGTTTCAGTAGAAGGAGAGCAGTTGTTGCTTACAAACGTGGGTAAAGACGATACTGGAACATATTCATGTTTCGCAAGAACAAAGTTTGGCACTTCCAATTCAAGCACCCATCTCACCGTCATAGGTACGCTTTCAAAGGCCTTGCAAAATTACATATGATACCAATTGCTACATTAAAATGACTTTCAGCTAGTTTCTGCAAGTTTTTGTAAAAGTATTTCATTACCTGCAAGCTTATAACTATACGAGCAAGAGCTTAAGTCATTGCATTTGTGCTATCCTACGTCTAAAAGAGCATCTTGGTAAAGCCTTAAGTTTGTATTGGAGACAGCCATGTTACCAACCTTATCAACATATTTCTATAGTATCACCAATTAGAAATGTATAGGTAAAATTGAAACTTATCCGCTACTCCATCTCTTGTGCCAGTATCTCTCCCGTCTCAAGACAATGCTGTTTAAAGGTAATGTGTCCATATAAAAGGACTGCGTATACCCAACTTGTCAAGCCACCCATCAAAATAACGGTTTGCGATTGGTTAGTATTCTTGCGATGCAAAACTGCTTACAAGAAAAGCTAACCTCGCAGCAGGATAGATAAACAGAACGACCGTAATGACTGGAGCGATGGCATGAAAAATCACATGTTTCTAAAAACCCCTGCAGAGTCACTTGCTATAGCTGGACACATTACCTTTAAGTTCCCAAAAACTTTAAATCTCTCTCTTTCAATCAGTTCCAACAAGACCAATCATCTACAAGAGTAATAGTGACGTCACTGGAGATGATGTATCGAAAACAAAACAAATAACAATTGGTGATAAATTGTTCGCCGTCAAAGACTTGACTGTTGAAATCAAATGCCGAGTTTCTGCTGGCATACCGAAACCTCGTATAACTTGGTATCACAACAACGGAAAGATCGTTTCAAACGGTGTCTATGCAACGGTTAAAGAGAACAATGATTTGTTGATTCCCAAGCTAGATGCATCACTCCAAGGCGTCTATAAATGCGTTGCTGAAAACATGAAAGGAACGGATGAAGCTTCAACTCATGTCATGATCATGTGTAAGTTAATGCATGCAATCATTTATCGTTGATTACGTGATAGATCGAACTGATTTAGTGATCGATTGAATATTAGCCATAATGAATCAGTGACAGTATTTGATTGCGCATCCTGATTGTGATTGATTCATTGATCGATTTTTCCTGGCTTTCATCAGAATAAGCAACGATTTTGATTAATGTTTTTATGATAGAATCATAGCGTCTATGAACACAGTTTCTGTTTGTTTACATAGTCTCATATTCTTTCAGTGAGCCATTCTTGAAACATTGTTTCAACTTTGTTTTAAAGCACACGATAACCTTGCTAGAATGTTTAAAACATTTTTTTGTTTCATATTACACATTAACCTTGACAAAACGTTTTCTTACAGTCAGTGTACGTCCCGACATCACCAGATCATTAAACCATTTCACTGATCACAGCACCCCAACTTCAAAAGAAGCAGGTTCACTACTGTCAATTAACATAGGAGACCAGCTGAAGGCAAACGAAGGCCGTGATGTTATGATTAATTGCGTTGCCACGGGTGTCCCAAAACCAAGAATCATTTGGACAAAAGATGGAAACGATTTAGTATCTGGTGACCGTATCACAATCTATGAAAATGGCAGCCTTTTGGTCAAAGGGGTTACAGAGGAAGACACTGGGAATTTTGCCTGTGTTGCTATCAATAACAGAGGAGTAGAAACATTCTCATCACAGCTTAAAATCCTAGGTCAGTATGGGGGTATAAACCAACAATTAGAATTTGTGTAGTTGGTGTTAAATTTCAATCATTCATTTATGCGTGTATTGTCTTACCTACCAAGAGCTATCAGTTATTCTTTTCGGTGATTGTCGTGGAAGGAAAATATTTAGAAATAAAGAAAATTTAAGTTCTAATAGTATCTTTGTAAGAAATTTGTTCATCCATTGAAAAATTGTCTCGTAAAATGCCAAGTTTGTTAATCTATAGGGAAATATATCTATCAGTCTTTTTCGCTGGTTGTAGTAGAAAAAGTCATTAGTTTCGTCGTTACAGGTTTCTCTAGACTTTCTAGTAAATCTAACTGTGTGTGTTAGGAACCCACGTTCTACTTTTTGACTGTATTTTTATGAGAGTGCCTTATAAACGGTATTAGAAATTTTAATGCATCTAATTTTAGGCAAGGGTAGAGCGATGGTAGCAGCAGCCGAGCAATTGGAAGAAAAAGTCCAAGTCAATCCTTCAGAGCCTACAGTTGAAGCCAATGTAGGTACCAACATCACTACACTGCCTGGCAAAGAGCTGACTCTGAATTGTCCCTCGATCGGAAAGCCGAAGCCTAAGGTTACTTGGTATAAGGACGCAGTTGAGTTGGAGCCAACGACACAGATTCGCCTCGGGGAAGCTGGAGAGTTAGTGTTTAAGGGAGTTACCTATGAAGATGCAGCGAGATACACATGTGTAGCTGAAAATGAATTCGGCAGGGACAAAATGTCAAGCATCTTGAACGTTGCAAGTAAGCTCTTTCACATGATCGTAGAACTCTTTTCCTTGCAAATTTGCTTTTCTAAACGCTTTTAGGTATGATAGATGCTGGCTAACAACAGTGTCGTTTCTCCTTCCTCAGCTCTTCCCGATCAGCTTATAGTCTCCCCAGAAAAACCAGAAAGCTCTGATTTGCGCCCGCCAACTGTGTCAAAGAAAGTGAAACTGGACATTGGTATGTTTGGAGATGTTTTGTCAGGCAAAACGGTGCATATTGAGTGCCCAACGAAAGGGTCAGTGAAGCCTAAGATTACATGGCTGTTTGAGGAAAAAGAAATCAAGCCAAGCAAAATCTACGGGATAGACGACAATGTGCTTACAATTCGAAACCAAAAAGCCGGCGATTATATTTACACCTGCCGAGCAGAAACATTTCTCGGATCATCAGAAATGCAGTCCAACGTTCGGTTCATAGGTTTGTCGTCTCATTATCGTGGAGTTTGTTTTGTCGTCGTTACCTCATGGTCGTCACATCGTTACATCACTCTTATGTCATTGTCACTACTTCATCATCATTACATCATTCTTACGTCATGATCATTACGTCATAATCATTACATCACTCTTACGTCATCTTCATATCTCACTCTTACGTCATACTCATTGCGTCATCATCATTATATTATTGAATACTGTACACTTTGATATTGACTTCAGGGGTTATAATGTAGAATGTGCAAACATTTTGTAGCAATAATATCATGATAAATATTGTATCGAAAGGATATTCTCTCCACTCACTGTTATTCTTCTTGTGTTCATATGCCACTAAGCTTAATGTGCAAACTTGTGAACAGTGTTGAGCGTAAAATGCACCCAGTTTTGCCACTGTTTAGCTACATACGATTTGAAATTGTTTTGTCACATCTGTCGTCATTAACATCCCAGTTAATCCTTTCCTTTACCTTCTCTCACTTGCTCGTGTATTTTTGTTTGGAAATATAGCCTAGGAAAAAAGTCTGGTACCAATTTACGTGTTGATTAGTTAGAACGGCTAACCTTTTTATTTAGACCCTGCCGAGCCTAAGATACATTCAACAAAGAAGGATAAAATCATAACAGATGAGAAGATCCGAATTGACATCGGAGGTAACATCAAGATCAAATTCGGTAGTCAACTTGACATCAAATGTCCCTTCTTCGGAGTACCAACCCCAAATGTCAAATGGTTCAAGGGCGGAAGACCAGTGACAGACAAGGATGGTGTTGTCACCAAAGGGTCAGGAAGTGTTCTGCGCATTCCATTTGTGAAAATGGACCATAACACTTCGTATGCTTGTGAAGCGTCAAACGGTGTCGGAAAGAAAGCACTGGAAACGATGTTTGTTGGTGTTTTCAGTGAGTTCAATATTACTTTTTTTGTGAAATACAGAATTTTACCACCCTAGCAGAACATAACATATCTTGTACTAGCGATGTTCCTTTAGCTAGAATCATATTTTCTTGCATTTTTTACTTTCTTTAAACAAAAATCGTTGCTAAGTTTACTGCTAACCTGACAGCAATTGTTAAACAGGTTCCAGTATTTGTCAGTAGCTTTTTGAAACTGCATTTTTGTTTCAGTTTGTATTTTTTATTCTTCATTTAAAGGCCTTGGGCTAGTCATGATCTTCTTCTTCGTTTTGTTTTCATCCTTGTTATTTTGTAAAGTTACCTGTATGATTTTCTAAAGTAATTTATACATAATGTAGTCCTTGTAAGGTTAAGTATCGAATGTAAGAGAACAAACTGCTTGCCAACTATGTTTTCCAGCTAAGGATATTTTTACAAACAATCAAATTTTTTTAAAAGCCCTGCGTGCTCGTTGTTCAATTCTTAAATCAAGTTTTTGCATGGATCAATTTTCCTAATTTATAGAGCCCGAAAGTGCTGCAATTAAAGTTAAACCGATTGAAAAGCAAGCTGCCCTAACTTACCTCAAAGATGAGTATTTCCCTACAATCATCAAAGAAGAGAATAAAACCGGAAGCATTGGGCAAAACTACTCAATCCTTGCCGGTATGCAGTTGCTATTGAACTGCCCGGTCTCTGGAGATCCGAAACCGGAAATTGTATGGAAGAAGGACAACGAGCCGATTGCAGAGAACGTTGAAACGCTCGTGTTGGATTCAGCAACTGTTGAAAATAGTGGTATATATGTCTGTGAAGCAACTAATGCTTTTGGTACTCAGATGATGGAAAGCAAAGTCAGCGTTATGGGTATGTTGTTTTTGTTTTTTTTAATGTACCGTTTCTTTGCTAATACTCTTTAAAAAGTTATTAGCAATTGGAACACAACCAACTGTTATCCTGTCCCTACGGCTGAACGCTGGCCTCTTTGTTATGAGAATGGTTGTTTGTTTCAGACCATTGGCACTAAATCCCAAACTCTTAAACCCTTCAGGCCATTGTACCCACCAGTTGCCTCTGTACCCATTGTTGTATGTTGCTGTTGCCTGCTGGCGCATTCAAGCAACTTTACATTGCCATTGTTGGCAGAAACCACTGTGAACAAACTCCGTTATCCACTGTGAACATTCACATCATCGAACGAACGATGATTACATGTAAATTCAGTCCCTTTTCTTGACGTACAATCCCCACGTCTTTTCTTCTACCTCGCTCTCTTCGAATCGCCTCCTTTTCCTGCTATTCAACTTATTGGAATTTTTGGTCTCGTTTCCGTGCCCATTCAATTCAGTTCAATGAAATGTCTATTTTTGTGGAGCCTACATTGCTAATACTCTATTTTCTGGTACATGAAAGATAATTTCGCATCTTTCAGAGCAAAGAAAACCAGAAATTCAACGTGACCCAGCCAAAAAAGACTCAAAGACTGAAATAATCACGGCCATATCTGGCAAAGGATCAGTTGATATCGACATTGGCGACGACCTCAAGACTTTCATTGGTACAGAATTTACAATAAAGTGAGTTTCCATGCAAAAAATGGCTGTATGATTGATTATAAGGGGGCCCTGTCAAAAACTTTACAAATTAATACTCGACAATGATAATGGTAACAAAAGAAAACTGATTACAATCATAGTTTGACATTTCCAATCAACACTTTATCTTTTTCTTAATAGAAGGTTGAGGGGAAGCTTGCTTGGCCTCGCGGACAAGTTCGTAACAGATTTTTGCTCCAGAATTTTCATGAATTGCTCTGTGTCTCACTAAATGTCATTTGCACCCAAATAGTCTACCCTTATTTGCAATCAATAACTGTTTAAATCTGTTTCAGTTGCCCTGCTATAGGAATACCAGCGCCATCAGTTTCCTTTTACAAGGATGGTGCCCAGATTGAGCCAAACGATGACATTGAAGTTGACCTTAAACGTGGTGCCCTGACCATCAAGAAACCAACTGCTAAAGACCGTGGTCTGTATTCGTGTGTAGCCCAGAATTCAGCTGGTGTATCGAACATTTCGTCTGTCGTTGAACTCATCGGTAAGTTCGAATAACACCAAAGCTACTGAATTAGCATTCTGTTGCAAATTGAACATCGTGTGTGCTATATTTCACGTAGCAACGCTATTTGCTAAGCATTCATTTGGTTGCCTTATGTTCGTATTAAGCGTGAAACTTCGAGTTGCAACTTTATACCATCCTGGTCTCTTTACACCAAAGAGTAGTTCATAGTATAGCTCTCAAGTGAACAAGTGTATGTATATATAGAACATGACTACAATTCCTGTTCTTGATCACCAACAGCGTTTTTGTCAATAACCTTCGCAGCTTCCTTTCTCCCCTTTAAAATAATGTTGGATTATTCTCCTTTTTACACTAGTTGAGTTTAAATTATATTTTTTTAAATCAGCATGGCTGATGTGTATGTCTAACATCTTTTGGGGAAAAGGGGGCAACTTAACTATTTTTGTAGGGGTGAATTCACGATAGATAGATGAATCTTGAATCTTGTATTAATCGAGCATTTTTCTACTCTAAAACATTGGAACTATCAATTGGTATAGCAAAAGGAGGTTTAACTGTACATTGAGTTGTTGATAATTGTAAAGTTTTTATGATGAGACCCATTGAATCCATTGCAGAACCGGTTGCACCTCATATGTCGGAAGAAGTTCCAGCTGCGTCTTACAATTTCAATATTCTAAAGAGCCAAGGCGTCTTAAAAGCATCAGTTGGCAGTGCCAATATTTCATCGTTCCCAGGAACTGAAGTCTTCATCGACTGCCCTGTGTCCGGTTTCCCACCACCAGAGGTTGTTTGGTCGAAGGACGGTAAACCATTAAACCCGGAATACGACCCCATTGAAATACGAGGCAACGGCACGCTTGTATTGCCGCATCTGACCAGCGAAATGCAAGGTACATATGTGTGCTTAGCCGTGAATATGGGTGGAGGATATGCAAGGAACATTACCATTAAAGTCACTGGTGAGTCACTTCATTTTATCAATCGCAAACGATAAAATCATTCTTAAGGTATATTTTGTAATACTGCTATCAGTATTAACTATTTAACTTAATAGTATGACCTATATTTCTTTCTTTCGAAGAAGAAAATTTCTTCTTTGTCATTTTTTAATGTAATTTTTATCAATCTTTTTCAATCATTATTTTTATTTCCTAGATAGCTTTTTTGCTTAATGCAGACAGGACTTATAAAAATGTTTTTCCCCATTTAGATCCGGTTGCACCAATGATAGAAAAGAGTTCCGGGCTTCGTGACGAATCTCAAATACTGCAAGCCAGCATAGCAATTGGCGAGGATGCTGTGGTTTTAGAAGGATCCGAAGTGACTATTAACTGTCCACACAAAGCACAACCGGAAGGTGCTATAATATGGTCCGGTCCAAACGATTATGGCATGGACAGTGACGGTTTCGAAGTGTTAAATGAGGGATCCACCTTGAAGATTTCCCGGGTTGACAGTAGCTTTAATGGGTTGTTCAAGTGCATTGTATCCAATGTTTTTGGCAGCGATCATGCAACGACAAGACTGACTGTCGTAGGTATGTCAGCTGATCAAAATAAACCTTGCTCGTATTTGAGTAAAAGTCAAATGAATTAATGTTTGTCAGCCTTGCAGCTAGAATGCCTTGATAAATCTCCTACAGGAACTTCCTTCTATGTATCTTTGATTGTATACTCGGTAATTTAAAACATAAAGTTTTGTAAACTTTTGGCAACTCTGTTCAATGTCTTATAACTGATTGGCCATTCTAGGAAAAGTGTCACTGTTCTTCTATCTTGTTCCCAAATATCGTTTCCTTAAATTAGGAATGTGAGTTTTTGATGTCCGTCCCGTGGTGAATATTCTTCTGTTTTGAAATAGAATCCTTGAAGCCGATGATAACCCCCGTGATGGAGAATGTTACCGCTACCATGGGCAAGGATGATGTTGGCATTGTCATCGGAGGCCATCTTGAAGCGCCTGCAGGAGTTTTGGTTAAAATCGCCTGTCCCGTAAGTGGTGTGCCTAGGCCAAATGTGAAGTGGCTCTTCAACGGGCGCCTTGTGCATCAGACTAAGATGCAGAGTGACAGTGAAGCAGCAACCTACGTCATCAACAAGCTGACTTTAAAAGACACTGGCATGTACACATGCATTGCTGAAAACGTCATCGGGCGCCAAGAAGCGTCTACCTACATCTCTGTCGGTTAGTACCACTGTCTCTGCCCTTTGTCTTTGTCACCACTATATTTCTGTCCCTTGAAAGTTCACCCAAGTGCTCTTACGGTATTGAAAGTAGTCAAAACAGTTCTCAGTGAGATGTGCGGGAATATCTAGATTAGGGAAATCTTGTTCTTTACATAAAGCCTTGAGGGGATTCCTTTGGCAGTATTTCTGCATTTAGAAGGCATTTCTGCGTTTACAATTTTCTTGCGAAAGCTATGTCACATCTTTCTTACACGGAAGCTCATTCCCGCCCCTCTGTGTCTCTTACAAGGGTTAATTGTCTCATTTCCTGAACAAATTCCTACCTCAAAATGTATCCAGAACCGCCTTAATATGTCGTTGAGGCATTTGCTACTATAAAAAAGCCAATTGTCTGAGAACCAACTTCACCCGTTTCTCAATTCTTATACAGGATTGGTACCAAACATCCAATCACTTGCTAAGAGTGAAATATCTGCCTTGGCAGAGGACTCTGTAACAATACCAGTTGGCGCAAGATCGGTTGTCAAAACAACGACAAATGTAGTGCTACAGTGTTTCGCACATGGCATTCCAATGCCTCTAGTCAAATGGTACAAAGACGGCAACCTTGTTGATGTGGATCGTCGCTATACGTCATTGATCAATGGCATGCTTGAAATCCGATCTGTTACTGCATTAGACGATGGGACATTTACTTGTGTTGCTAAGAACAAATTCGGTACAAAGAAAGCCAAAGCAACTTTGATAGTTGTAGGTAGGTCAAATCTAACAGTTGATGTACACTAAACGATGCCTTGAGAACAAGCTCGTTATGATCATAATGATGATCACAATTACGATGGTTAGAAGCTGCCCTGCTGTTTATAAGCTGAGCCTACTACTAAAGAAATAATAATGGTAAAGACTAGAAAATAACACTGTTTCATTATAATTCAGAAATTGAATGTTGGCCTAAATATGAGTACATCCAGCTACAAGTATGATTCTAAGAACGTTTACGAAGTTTGTTTACAAATCCTGTTTTTATGTATTTGTTCAATTCTACTCCTTTTTTGCTGCAATTTTCGTCTCCTTTGGAGTATTTACGAAGTGTCCCTTTTCTAGACCCACCAAGGATCGTCGGCAGTCGTGGAAACAGAACCGAAATCAAATCAAAGAGCAACCTTATTGAGGCCATAGTTGGTGAAACAATTACTGTCCTACGGGGTGTACAGCTGATTGTCAGATGCCCTGTGAAAGGTATACCAACCCCTAGCATTCTGTGGAAGCGTCTTAATGCCTATCACAATATCGACCCCCGTGTCAGCATCACAGCAGACCACAGTCTTAGGATACACGATGTTAGCTCGTTTGATGCGGGTACCTATGTCTGCATTGCTAAGAATAAGGCTGGCCAGGATACGGCGCAATTGCGCGTGCTTGTTGCTGGTAAGTTTTCCTTGCTTACTTGTGCGTGCCTACAGAAATTTTGCAACTATTGTAAAATGCCATAGGAAGAGTTCAAAGGGGGGGGGCTCAAAAAAGGGGGCTCAATAGGGTGAAACAATAGCAAACTGACGAAAATTGCAAGACAGGGGGCCACTATCCTTGCTGCTATGCCCCTTGGGGCAGGCGTCCTTGGACCTATAACAGTAGCATGTGTTCGGTTTTTTTAGCAAATAATGGAGAAGCACTCAATTAATGAAGCTTCAGTTGAGCAAGCCCTTTACATAAACCTTTTTATGTTTAATAATTAGACGTAAAAATACAAATCTAGATTTGTTAGCTAGATATATTAGTTTTAACTTAAAATTTCAATTTGAAAATTGAAAGAAAAGTTTAAGCTCGAATTAGGAAATGTAGGTGATTGTCAAATAAGCTGACATCTTTAGACACGTTTTGGCCGATATGTATTAAGGATTGTTTAATATTTTCGTACAACGACATCAGTAACAAGAAATTATGTCCTATAGAACCACCTTCAGCGAAATTATCGACAAACTTTAGAGCTCGCGCTCCTTCGGTTGATTCAACGAACCGAATTGTAGTATCGAGAAACAAGAGTGTCACAATCATTTGTACAGTGCAAGGGACACCACTTCCGTTGATCAGATGGTTCAAAGAAGGGGTAGAGATAAATGTTGATGGAACCAAGTATCACAGCGAAGGAGATGAGCTCTTTATAAAAGCAGTGACGATGAAGGATGCAGGCACATATCGCTGTGTTGCTGAGAACATGGCTGGAAAAAACAGTGCAACATTCAACTTGATTGTCGGAGGTAAAATATTTTCTGTTGTCTCTAGTTTTGTCAGTAGACATAGCAAATCCGGATAGATGTTTTGTTGAATGTCATATTAGCAAAAAAGCATTCCCTTAACCCTACATTCGTAGTCAAAAACTGACACTGAATTAAAAATCTGGCATGTTATAAATTGTTTCCAAGAAAAATGGGGACATATCAATCCCCCCTCCCCCTCTATATCAATGTTAAATGATAAATGGTTTGCATTTCTGAAGCAGTCTCACGAGTTTTGGCCAGGATTGTAAGCGACCAGTGATTAAGAAAAAATAGTGTAAAAGCTTCTTGACATGTATGACACGGGATTATTCAGAATGTCCTATCCGGACTGAGCTGGATCCAACTTTTTGCCTTCGTTAATTGATAATGCTATAAGTTATATCGTCTGCTAGAGCTGCAGTATAGGCAGAGCTGCACCTATTTGGTGTATTATACAGGACGCGTCCAACAGTTGACTGTGAAGCTCTGCGTTTGAGAACGGTCCTATTTTCCCACCAATACCTGTGATTACGTACTGTTTCACAGATATGCTGTGCAAATAAGTGTTTTTGTTTAACTTCTAGATGCACCACGGATAGTGAAAGGCAAAGGGGTTGTGCTTAAGCACTCGGCAACGACATTGAAAGCTATTGTTGGTCAGTCAATTTACATTCGCCATCATTCAGTGTTGATGATCTTTTGTCAAGTTAAAGGAACGCCTTCTCCAGTCGTCAGCTGGAACAAGAATGGAAAAGAAGTCGACCGAAGCCTTATGGTAAGGTTTTCTACTTGTAGTTCAATTACGAACTTTTGGCTTTCTTTCTGAAAGTTTTTGCCATGAAAAGATACATGAAAAGATATAAAAGATTTCTAGATACAGGCTAGAATTTATGCCAGCAATTCGCTACGAATCATTGACACAAAACCCCAATCTGTTTCCCTTTTCATCATGCAGATATTAATTAACAGTTTTCCACCAGCATATTGCCGTTCTGTTCTAAATGATAATACCTACAAACGTGTATTGCTATTGTATTCAGCTGCTTGTCGATAGAAGAATAACTATGAAACAATCTATGAATCTGTTCATTATGAATTGATTATTAAGAATTTCAATCTAAAATACTACGTTTTGTGCTAAAACTTATTACTTTGCTTAATCATGTTAGAGGCATCATATGGTGGACATCTGTTAGGGCAAAATCAGTATCCGCTATAAAGAGCTGCTCGGTGTCTGAAGGCTTCTTAAACAAGGCACTGACTACCTCAACACTCCACTTTTACAAAAAAAAATGTTAAGCCAGATTTATTTGTTTTTTTTTCGAGTTTCAGCTATTTCCGGAAGTGTCCGTTGTTGGGAGGTATCCGGTATAAAGAGGTGTCCAGTATTAGAAAGTGTCCGTTATTGGGAGATTTTCATTGATAAATATACTTAGAAAAACTGTTATTAAAATAGGCAGATTAAATATTTATACACTTATGCATGATTTCATTATTCAGGTGGAAGAAAACAAGATTCTTTTGCTTAAAGACGTTTCTTATGCCGATGCTGGTAACTACACGTGCATGGTTGAAAGTGACCTTGGATCAGATCAAGCCACTTCAGAACTTGTTGTTGTTGGTAAGAGCAAGAAAATAATAATAACAAGAAATATTTGCGTCTTTTTCATGCTGAAGTGCCACTGGATCTGTGCATTTTGCATAAACATATTCCAGAAGGAACCAAATTTAGGGACAAATTTGTATAGGATGTTGCATTTGGTACCAACTTATTCAGGAAGGAATCAACATCAATGAAAATATGCATGGAATATTCAGAATTTTAACAAACAGCCAAGCACAACTCTAGAATTTCGAAAATCAATTAGATCACAGAAAAGTTTTTAGCCTTTAGCCAATTTAATTTGAGTTACTATAAGGCTGCGCCTGTTCTTATCTCTACCAATGGCTTCATCTGATAGAAGGCTATGTAGCTTGATTTTCCTTAAATTTTTGCTTTCATTAGTCTGTTGCCGGTGAAAAAGCGTTTGTTGTTGTAAAATGCCTCTCAGATATTTAGTATTGGCTGTTTATGATTTGGAAGTTTATGAAAAAGTAGAGTGTAAGCAGTTTAAGAAAACAACGGGAATTAACTGGAGATTAAGCTGAAAAAACGCTGAAACACTAGCAAATTTTTGTCTCTTTTCGTAAAAGATTGAGTGCTATCTCTAAGACTATTACTTGTGGCATTTATAACTTCTGAAAATTTTTTTGTGATTTTCTAATTTATTTTATGCGAGTAATGATTGATAGTTCTTTAATCTGAAGTATCTGAAGAGAATAAATATGAAATACTTTCAAACTCCCATTTCTCTATACTTGCAGAACCCCCTGCTGTTAAATCCCTGGATACTAAAGACATTGGTGACAATGATGGACATGTCAATATTTTGCTTGATCCAGCCAAAGTGAAAAGTGTTGATGTCATACAAGGTATAAAAATAATTATTGAACTTAACATTCCTCTTCGTATACGATGACATCTCGTAAATGCACCGTATATAGTTTTTGTACTCTAAATCCTCGAATGCATTGCTTTGTCAGGCTCATCTTTCCCGTTGCATTGCTCTGTCATCTTGGCTTTTCTTGGCCCTTGAACCCTCCAAAAACAAAACATATCAATTTTTAGTGAAAATTTATAAGGCTTTTCGATGTCTTTAATACCTCGTATCCATTTCAGGCGAAACCGTAAAACTCATGTGTGTCGCTGAAGGATATCCGATGCCAAAGATTGAATGGTTAAAAAATATGCATAAAATAAAGTCAAATGCAGGCGATGTTTCATTGTCAGAAAAACGTAGCATTGTCAACAAAGGAAATAAGGTTGTTGGCAGGGTCTATGCTGCACTCACAATGAAGGTTTCCAAGTCTGTGTACACCGTTGGATGCAAAGTTCAAAATCCTTCAGGAAAATCGATGGCCGAAATAAAACTACACCATCACGCACCGCCAAAATCGCCTTGTGAGTTTTCTAGTTTTTGCATTATTGAATCCTATAAAAAGCCTTGATTTTTTACTGCTGTAGAATCATAAACTGTAAGCTCTATCTTTCGTATAGAATTCAGTCAAACTGATCGTTTTAATGAAAAGAATGTTGCGTATTACCCGCAGAATGATGCGTCTTACCCGCAATATGATGCGTATTACCCGCGGAAAGTTAGAGAAGATCTACAAAAAAAATTTATCGTTCCAAAGCGGATTTGAACTCGACACAATAACGGTCAAACTGCAGAAATTACTTATGATTAAACCTTTTTTTTAATTTTTTAGACACCGGGGTCTGGGTTACTAAAGAACTGGAAAGCTGCGACGGCGAATGTGTCAGGCCTTTCTATGCTATGGGAAGTTTACAGATGCAATGTCTGACATTTGGAGGCAAAGAGGTTCCAGCAGAAAACTGTGATCCTAAGAAAAAACCAGCCAAAACGAGGGAGTGCAAAACTAAACGATGTGCCACAAACTGGAAAGTTGGCCCTTGGGAAGAAGTAAGTAGACTTTACCATTCGTTTTTGTCTCTTGAAACTAACATGGTATGCCTCAGAGAATTGGTTTAATCTTCCGGCAGATTTTCTGCTGTTTTGTCCCTGTCTTCCTATACGGAAGTAGCCAGATACAGGAAAATCTTTGCAAAAATCGTTAAAGGAAAATTGCTTTTGGAAAATTTGGCAACCGTGTCCCTTAAGGAAAGGTTCGAAACTACATAGATATTTCTTGCATCATCTTGAAGTTTATAAATGCCTTACTTCTTAAGAAAATCCATAATGATGGCAATATGTTGTGGATATGATTAAAATCATAACATTATGATCCCCCGCTAGTGTTTTTGTTTGAACTGAAAGAAGATTTGTTCAATTCCAGTGCTCTTCTACATGTGGAAATAGTGGCTTTAGAAAGCGAGTCGTCAAATGCATGTTCATGGCTGGTTCAAAAATTACCAAAGATGAGCATTGCCGACACATTACAAAGCGAACACCACGCAGATCAGAGCCTTGCAATCGAATTAGATGCGTAAAACGTAAGTTTTATAAGGAGACTTATCTAATAATGAAAATTCGACCAGAAATGTTCAAGACAATTTTTAATGTTTCCGAGCATAAACAGATATAGAAATTATCTTATTTTGGAGTATCACGAAGTTTGATGTAAATTTAAGAAAATGATTGCACGTGTTTCTGATCCTGATTATGTGTATTCTAAATTAATAATGCTTCACTGTATATTTTTAACTTTAGGCCTTTCTTGTTTGCTTGTATACTTATGAAAATTACTGTTTACTGGTCTGTCATAAAGTGCCAGATACTTTATTGGCAGAGCTGTACGCTGTTGACTGAATTAGGCGTGATACTCGGAGCAGCAACTTAGAACCGTCCTGTTCTATACACCAAATATCATACTTGTATACATAGATTGTCTTTTCTCTTGCAGACGTCTGTAAAGATGTTTACAAGTACTGTGGTCTCGTCATAGCACAGGGATATTGCAAGCTTGAGTGGGCAAAAAGGAGCTGTTGCGTCACATGTGGTAAAAAATTTTAAAAGTAGAAAATACCAATAGATACTTAGAGGTAACATGAATATTCGCATCGCCTGCGACAAGATCAGCCACGCACATCGCATAGGTATCTTATGATCTTTGTTGTGCAGAAAATGAATGCATCTTACAAAGACGAGAGCTGTAGGTAGACGGTGGATAAGCCATTTTTGAATTGTGCAAACAGTCCTCCTTATCTTCCTTATCCTGGTAACTATCCCAGTATGTTCCATTGTTAAACGCTTCTTTCTCATCTATGTTGTGCTCAATATTGGGGGTTTTAGGGGGCAGTAAAAGTGATGTCATTTGAGTTTTGGGTGGGGGCAATTTCCTCACAAATCAGTGCAGTTAAAAAAAACTGAAAAACGGCCTAGTTATAAAGTATGTTTCGCAAGATAATGGGATGAAACTCTTTTAAAAATTTTCTGGGAATGAAATAAGATGAGGGGCTGCAAGTCGACTTTAAAAGTTTTCTCCAAATTTTGGGTCTCATTAGGAAATGTACCAAAAGCTGCAATTTGTTGTTACATTCCCTGTTACAAAAACCAAATTAGCAGTGCTAATTTGTCTACTTCAAAAATGTTTGAAATTTCTAATCAATATAAGATTTGATTACATTTTCAGTAAATGGACCCCCGTGCTTGCAACATTTTCAATGTTGCAGCATTTTAGTCATGGCATCTCTCGTCTTTTTGTCAAAATGCATCATTTTCTGTAGAGAGAAACCGATATCATGTTTAAATTATGTGAATAAATATTTTTGTGAACGAAAACGTTTTTAGAGTAAATTTGTAAACTTTGTGAGACATTTTAATGTGCGATATTTTCTATGTTTTACTATTTTATTAGAGCTTTTCCCTTTATTTATTTATTTTGTTAGCTACATTGGGTCTGGTTGGGTAGCTTTGCACCAGTTGTTAAATATTTAGCAATGAAGTATTAATATAAGACATTATATGGGGCACTTTGGGGTGACGAAGGAGGGAGCAGTTTTCTAAACACAAACGTCTATGCTAGCGAGAATCAAAACATTTTTTTTCAATACTTATGGCGTTCGCTTGAAAGGCCTTACCTGTGATGGCTGAAAAAGCATAATTGCATGTTTACGATGAAATCGTCAATTCAAATGTTACTTTGAAATGGCTTCATTTATCAAACGTTTCCCCTCCTGCAAGCATTTTTCACCGGCGATAAATGCCAAAAACCCGGAGCCAATCGTCTTAGGCCTGCACTTCTAGAACACAGTTAGGCACTGCACTCCATTAATGATGTGTGGCTAAATTTTAGCTTGGTGTTGTTTAGGTAAAGTACGATACGAATGTTGAATTAATTGTAGAACATTTTTCTTTTACGGTTCTTTTAGAACTCAATGGTATATCTCGGAGATAAAATTGTATTCCTAGTTACAATTAACTAAACATTAATAGTTATTGTTTCTTACTGTTTTCTTGGTGGTAGAATTAAATTGTTTTTGTAATTATTTAGTGTTTTTGTCGATTCTGCAAAATTTTCTTGCTTCATTCTCTACGCCTACGATGAACCTACAGTTTGTTACTCTCCAAATGGTTATAGCAGGAATATCGTTTTAACATGGGAAGTTAAAATCGAAAGACAATTAATCGAAATCGAAGGACAAAAAGAAAGACAAAAAGAAAGACAAATTCTAACAACAGGAAAGGCAAAATATCAGCAGAGGATGAAAGCTGATATCGACTCTTTTTGAAGAAATATTTCCTAAATCGAAAGACCTAAGAGTAATTTAGAAAAATTATGGTGAATTATTTATTAGCAGTACAAAATTAAAAGATGCTTTGAAAAGAGAAAAAAAGGAAAATCCGAGGCAATGTATTTAAGCTTTGTTTAGTCAATATGTCCGATACCCTCATCTGTTGTGATCTTGACTTGGAGAAAGAAAAGGTCTTGAAAAGTTTTAGAGTTATCTTTAAAATATAGCTCGTAATGAAACTCTTTTTTAGATTTTTAAAGTACCTTAAATAAGACGGAGGAGAAGAATAAATGAAACAAAATTTAACAAAAACAGTAACATTGAATAGCAACAGAAAAACTACCAACTAAAATAAAAGCAAATTAAGCAATTTGTACTCTTGGGATATTGTTTTGTAACATCTGATCTTAAATATTTTGGTGCTTTTAAACAAAAAATCTGGATTTTAAAACATTCAAACTGCGCTGGTCAAAAAGAGTTTTGATAGAATTTATAATTAAGTCTAGGTTTTATCTTTTTTAGTAGGAATGGATTATCGATACATTCGAACTTTGAAGTTTTCTTGATTAAACTTTTAAAGAACAAATCTGCCCATTCTTTTATTCTCATATCCTAAAAAATTTTCTTTTCATCAGTTTCTCTTCCTTCAATTTCTCTCTTTTTGTAATATTCCTGAGAAATTTGTGGTTAACAAATAGACCTTGTGAGCCAAGTTTTGGCGATAGAAAAGAAAAAAACTTCGTCAATTTGTGCTGACACTAAGTTATTCTGGATCAGGTTTCTCGATTTATTCCCTAAGTCAAGCTATTACTCGTTGTACAACTATGACAATGACCGATTTCTTCGATCTAATTCCCATATTCAATTTTAAATATTTCTTCTATGGTAAAGATATAGCAAAAAGGTAAAGCTGAAGGCATATTTAAGGGATTACTAGGCACAGTTACTTGCAGAATGATATACTACATTTATTTCCACTTTTGCCTAAAATTTTCTTCAGCTCTGCAGAAAAGTGGGGGGGGGGCATGGCGCCCGGCCTCCTGCTTTTGCTGGCCCTGAAAACAGTAGGGTCGAAAAGTTCAAGATGGAAAGTATATATAAATATATACCAACTTGTAGATAGAAATAGGCCAGTCAGAAAACAAAAGCACCTGACCGGTGTAGATGTAAAATCAGTACCGCATACCTTTAGCAATATTAACCACTGAAGTCCAAAGGAGAAAACAAGCTCATTCTGTAGGAAATGCAGTTGTTAAGTGAATCAATTCCAAAAAATGTAAAGAAGATCAGGCCCTGTCAATTGTCTGCATCGTTATCATAGCACTGTCAATGTGTCGTTATCATAGCAGAATATGATCTCATTTTTCATTTTATAATATTTATACAGGTTAAAGGTTCATACATATGTTTTTCAACCTGACCTGTTTAAAAGAATAAAATAAGAGCTAATAACTATGTTGAAATACTAGTAACAAAAGAAATTTACCAATCAAACCTAATTTACAATATCTAATAATACTAAGGCTATAAAAAGTGAACGTAAAGATGAAATAATAACTGGAAATAATACGAAATATTAATAACGTAAAGATGATAACTGGAAAACAGCAAGAAGCCTGGACAGAAAATGTCAGTATTTAATGTAAAAAGGAAAATAAAATGATTTTGGACAGATCTCCCATCAAAATAAGACAATTTTGTTTAGCCTATTGTCTTACATTTTAATGAAACTTGAAGTCACATTAAAAGGGTCCAAATGTATAATGAGAATTAAGAAGTAATGAGAATAAACCGATAAAGCCCCATTTATTCGTTCGTGTAATGCCTTTTTGGCGAGTAATGGGTAGACCAATCTCCCATCAAATAGAAACAATGCTGCCACACCTAATGCCTATTTTTTTACCAATTTTTGAAGCCATATTCAAAGAGCCCAGATGTAATCTATAATGAGAATTGAATAGTAAAACGGATAAAGTCCCATGAATTGTTTTAGACGCTTTTGGGCAGGAAAATTCCATCAAAAAGGGATTGTTTTGTCACGCCTTAAATTCTGTTTATTTTTTTATTTTATTTTTTTAAAATTTTCCATCAAAAAGAGGCAATTTCGTCTAACAGCTGGGGAGGAGGAAATCCCGGCAAACACTGCGAAAATCGAGCATGGCCTGGTTTGAAGAAAATGGCGACGAGTTTTTGAAAATTTTATCAACTCTAAAGGTATGAGGAAGGCTTAACTTTTGATTTAATATTTATTGTGAAACTTTTAAAATATTTTTTCTTGTTTATAAGTTAACGAGAGGGAAAATTTTCCTATTTTTTCCTGGAGGAACACAGAAACGGTCGCAGAGCACTGCCCCGCGCGCTGTTTGTTGTCTTGAATCGGAAATTTTATTTCGAGCTTTTGGAATTAATTTTGTTAAGTGAATGTGCTATTTACTCATGAATTCAGGACAAAAATTTGTGCATTCTCAATTTTTTAGCGTCGAAGAAAGTTTGGAAAAGAAGAGGGTGCTAAAAGCAGGGATGACCTATGACCTTTAGAGGTGAAAGGGAGGGGGAGAGGGAGACTCTAAAACGTCTAGAGCCATTAGTTCATACATGCCAACATTCTCCTATGATATCGAGGGAGCTTTATTAGAGTGTTAGAGTGTAGTATTAGAAAAAATATTAAAGTGTAAAAAATATTTATGTGTTACATAATAAATACATTCATTTTTCATCAGAAGCAAAGGTCAATGTTGAGTACTCCAGTTTCTTATTGTTCTGGAAAATTCAATACTCATTGTCTCTTTAGAGTTTCTTAATTATGATGTCATGGATGATGTTATGAAATGTTTGTGACCTTTTTTATCACGTCAAGAGATTCGCTTCTGTTCTGATGCTGTATTTAGTAGGGGGAATTTTTTGTTCTGTTTTATCAAAATTTTTTTGTTTTTTAGTTTTTTTTGCTTTGAGTAATGAAGTTTCTTAATTCTTTCTGATTGTCCGGTGCTTGTTTTTTATAGCCAGTTTCTTATAAAAAATGAGTGTATATATATTTATACCACTTAATTAATTTTTTAACCTCATGGTGCTTCCCTGTTTCCATAAGGCTGCAGAGTTTCAGAAACTTGTTTTAGCAAATATTTTCAGTTAGTGGATGTTTCTTAAGGTGGAGATAAGATATCTCAAGGGAGTTTCTCTCAAGGAGTTTTACTCTGATATGATGGTACCATGCAGGGGGTTATTTTTGAGTGAAAATATAGGGAAACTCCCTCAATATGTGGGAGGAGTGTTGGCATGTATGTTGGTTTCAGTCTGCGACAAGGAAAATTTAACCTCTCTGGTCTGTTTTACTTTTAGCAACACCGCTGGGGTTAAAGGGGGTGTGTCACTGTTTTGTAAACAAGCTAAAAACATGGGATATTGTGCGTTTTTGCACATTGGAATAATGGCGGATAGTGCTTCGGTGCTTCAATAAGCTGGATAATTTGTCTTTAATGAGTGTATTTACTGAGAATGGAAAGGACAATTTCTGTATCTCCACATTTGTACTGTCTATTGACACAAAATGTGTAAAGGAATTGGTCTAGGTCAAGGAAATGAATCTTCATCCAATCAATGGTGAAGATATTTTGTTTCTCTTTGTGAATTTCAATGGCATTAGACACATAACAACAAAATTATCACTCCAAGATTTTTTGCTCCATTTTGTGCCCATCTATATACAGCTTTTTGATACCTGCGCACTTAATTTGCATAAAGAGCCTGGGGTGAAAAATTGGGTGGAAAGTTGCCACAGGCCTATGTTTACATACAGTGTTCAGGCCTTGCCCGGAAAGGCGCTCGATCGAGCGCGCGCGCCTAGAGCGCACCCAGAAAAAGCCTTGGAGAATGATTTATAGAGCCCCTCAAAACGTAAAAACAATATTAACGCGGAGCAAAATAAATTTTTGGAATTTATTAAATCAACTTGATCAAGCATAAACAATCTTCCCAACAGACCCCAATATTATGATTTGCGTAAGATTACCCCTTGAGAAAAAATTCAGCAAATTCAACGTTGGGTTTTCGATATCATTTTTAATCTGAAAACCCTCTAATAACCATCAAGGATACAGGCCATCAAGCAAGCGTATTCTCCGGCAGATTTATTTGATTTTTGAGCAAGCGTTAATCTTCTATTGAAGTATATATTATTTATATTTTTTTAATAACTTATTTTCTATATTTATATTAACATAGTGTTTGTTGCATATTTTGTTATTTCATATTATGGTGCTTTGTGGTATCACCGTTGAATTTCAAATTTAACATTCTTCCGAAGCTTTCGATTTGAATCTCTCGATCTCCTAAAGCTCTCGAAGGATGCTCTCAAGGACATTCACTTAGAGGTGCGAAATAGAGCGCCTAGAGTTTCTAAGGGGCTCTTTTTATGGAGCACCTTCATTTTACTTAGAGCAAGGCCTGAGTGTTTACTGGCGACTAAATATTGCCTGAATTGGCATCAAAAGTAGTTGGAATTTTGATCTTAAAAATATTTCGTAGTCTTTTATCTCCAAAGCAGATTTTTTAAAAGTTTCTGTCAATTTCGGTGTTCTAACAGGGTAGGGAAGCCGCTGATTTAGAAAGCAGCGCACAATGAATCACGACATATTTTCGCAATTGAAAGAGCCCATAAATTTCCTCAGCCTGAGAGGACTCAAAATTATGGTAGTAAACTTGAGTTAGATGCAACAGCACTCATCGCTTATGAAAACAAGGCTCCAGTTGTGGAAACAGCAGCAAGTACTAC